TGCCATAATTATCATCCCTTCGTGATGCCTTTTCTTCCCTCATCATCCATTCTCCCACAATTTTCAATTATATTGTGCTTCTTTCTTCTTCTCTCTATCATGTTAATCATGTTCAGTGACAAAAAAATCACTCTGTTAATTTACAATTTCACTCTCCTTCTCATTCATAACTTTATCCATCATTTGCTTTGCCACCTAATCTTGAGCCTTTTCAATCTCACCAAAGAACAAGAGAAAAGGCGAAAACTTCATCTTTATCATCTCGGCTCAATGCATCGGCACTTTTACATTCATTCATCCTTACAATACTATTTCCGGTTTCACTTGCAATTTTATTTTCCAAATCTTGTTAAAGCCTCAAAACAAAACCACGAAAAAAGAGCCAAACTCTGAAATCTATAAACTGAAAATGATGCAAAAACAAATTTCACCCAAAATTTCCTCTCAAATTGTGTCAATCAACCTTTCACAAATCACTACCAAAACACACCAATAGTTTCAATCGTGTTTTGGACAATCTCTAGTTTCGAGTAAAAGAGTCGAGAGTTTCTCTGAATTTCAATCGAATCGATGTTCGAAGCAAAAATTTTTCTCGATTTTTCTTTTGCTTTGTTCTTGTCAACTTGGCTCAAAATTGATTTTTTGTTGAGTTGCTCATGAAGTAGTGAAAGGACTTTTTAAAAATTGTCAACCAACAAAAACTAATTAATGAAAAAACAGTTAAAGTAGTTGAAGCAAAATGTGGTTAAACTGATATTTTTGTGGTTCCTTTTGACAATAAAGGAAACAAAAAGGCTAATTATTTTGACAAATTAATAAATTAGTAACTATTATTAATGATTACTGGTTAATCAATTTTCCCAATGCAAAGGTTCGTTTATCATTACCATTTATTATCATCAGTATAATTGATCAAATTAACCATGGTTGTCATGGTAATGGTGTAAGTGTGATTGATTTAAAATGCTAATAAAAGCAATGTTCATTGATGATAGCAAAGAAAAGTAGGAAAAAAATGTTCTTCTTCTCTTCATTTCTTTTCCTTTCAGGTAATAACCATTTACAATTGATTACCATTGATTGTTATCACAATTATATAAATCTGCAAATTCCCTGGGCAACCATCATGAAACAAAAACACACAATTTGATTATTCATTTAACCTCATTGGTTATGCATTGTCAGTGTTATCCTTAATGTTACAATTATGGTTTCATTATTAGATTGATATCAAAGTGATTGATTACAATGGTCAACTTGAGGCAAAAAACAAAAGTTCAAGTCGAGTGTTTACATTTGACTGTTGACTAGTCAAAATGGGCAAATGATGAGATGAAATTGTTTGCATATTTTTGCAACTTTCAAAATGATCAACTGAGAGCAAAAAGAGAAGAAAAATTTTACTTTTTTTTCTTGTTGCTTTTCTCTGATAATGATGATAATGAAAGAATAGAAGTATAAAAACGAAATCTTGGGAGGTCGTTCAAGATGAAGAAGAAAAGGTTTTCTTCAAAGAGGAAGATTCTGTATAACATTACATTTAAAGATGGTTCATCATTTTACATTTCATCTTCATTACTCTAAGTCTATTTAGTTGCCCCTCTCTCTACTTGCCAACATCATCTTCTGTCATCTTCTCATCTTAATGACAGTTAAACTCAATTTAAATGTAATTATAAGGAAAATCTGTTTTTACTCTTCACCATTGGTCACAACACACTTGACTTTCATCATTTGGGTACTTAACTGTTTATGCTTGGACTACAGAATTCAATGTTATCCAAAGATTTTTCTCTTTTTCTTCTTCTTCTTCTTCGCCACTCAACATTTATAAATATATTGTGAATTACTTGTCTTGGTTAACATTTTGTAACATTTGAAAAACAGTTTGTGTTCATTTGCTGTGTGTGGTGAACATTTCAAGATATTTATATTTATCATTTATGACAGAGATTCATTTGCTACATTTTTGCAACCTCATCATCATCATAATCATCATAATCATCATCATCTTCATCAACAAGAACAACATCATTTTCTTGTAAAATGATAAGCTTTCCCTGTCTACAGGGTAAAATAAGAAGGGAAGGTGAACACACTCCTCCTCCTACATGTAAAAACCATTGAACAGCCGAGGCATTTACTTGTAAATGAGTTTGCGAAGTTGAACAAGAACAGAGATGAAGAAGAAGAAGAAATAAGATGATAAAGATGAGGAAGGAAGGAAGGAAGGAAGGGAAAGATGAGAATTGGCAGGAGGCTGAAAATGATGATGATGAAAGATGAGAGGGAGGCAAGAATTAGGTACCTTATTTGGAATGAATTTCATTTCGATTTTTTTCTTCTTCTTCTCCTTTCCACTCTCTGTAAGTATTTCACAAGTTTAACCTTTAAGGCGTTTGCGCTCACATTTAACAAGTCAAGGTTTATGCGTGAAAAGAGGCAGAGAAACATGTTTATCCAATGGGCAAGAGCTGGGTTAGGTAGCATCAAAAAAGGTAACATGATGAGGTCGATTATGATGATCAAGATATAGATTAAGACCACCAATAATGATCGAAATTTTTCTTTCTTTTTCTTTCTTTTTTTCCTATTTTTTTCTCCTTTCAACTTCATCATGAAAATTTCTTGTTAACTTGAAAAATCATTCATTCTTGCTTTCCTCTAATCATCATCATCATCATCTTCATCAAAAACAACAACATGAACACCACAAAAGTCAACTGTTGAAGTATATTCTTAACTTTTTTTCTCTTTTTTCATCATTCTTTTCTTAACCATTAAAAGATGAACTTCAAGTGATGAACATGATAATTAGAATGTTGATAATGATAATGATGATGATGATGTTGATGATGAAAAATAATGATATTGACGAGGAGCAGAAAAAAGTAAAAGTAAACATTTGTGTTGGTTTAAAAAGTTTTAAAATCCTTTTTTTCTCACTTCAGATTAAATTCATGAAAAAAAAGTTTCAATTAAAAAGTTTGAAAATTAGTTTTATTGTAACTGCAAATGTAACATTTCACAGTTGCGCTTATTGTAACAATCAAAATTAATGATGATCATAATGATGGTTAATTAGCCAATCCAAGTAACTTGTGTGAACACATTTTCACTTGAATTGTCTCTAAGATAATTAATCACAACCAGGCAACATTTGTTAATATTGAATGAGCAAAAAAGCGACTCAATATTAAGATGTTTAATGAGGTGATTCACGACGTTATCAACCATTTCATGTCAACTTATCGGTTTGCTGAAGAGTTTTGCTGAAGAGTTGAACCAAGAATATCAAATTTCGAAGCTTTTCTTTACTCAATTTTCCCTTTTCAAATGTTAAACTTTTACCACTTTAACATTTGTAATTCAATCATCATCAACCTCATGATATTTATCAAAGTTATCAACAGAATATTGAATCGTCAGAAAGAAAAGAAGTTGAATTTTTGGAGAAAAAAAAGAAAGAATTTTGTCTTTTTTTCGTTGCCAAAAATTTCTACAACTTTTTCACTCTCATCATCATCACCTAATTATCAGCCTCTCATCATGAAATTGGCAAACGTTGCTTGTACTTGATTAATAAATGGTAAAATTAAAGTGAAAAAAGGTTGAATCAACATGAAAGTTATCATGAAGAGTGAAAGAGAGAAAAAAATGAGTTTCCAATTTTTCAATTTCTACTCAATTATTCGAGTTAATTGATTACAATTTTAATACTGTTGACAAGGTGAAAGGGTTAGAAAGTGATAAAACACTTTTGATGACAAACGAAAAAGTATTTTGTCAAGAAAAAGAGGAAAACAAAATGAGAGTGGAAAAGGTAAGCAAAAAGGTGAACCAAAATGAAGTGTAAAAATGATGAGAAGAAGGAGGAAAAGAGATTCATCAAAATTAACCCTTTAATTCATTGCTGCATTAAACATGACCAGGTAATGATGGCGAAAGTGAAGAGAAAGGTAAAAAACTGTCGCGATAATTTTTTCCTCTCTTCACTGGAAAACCAAAAAAGCGTTGTAAAAAGGCGTTCATTTTGACACCTTTTACCTTGTATTTTGTGTTTCCAATGACTTAAAGACTATCATTACTCTTGAACATGGACACACAGTGAATGTTGAAGCCACAGAGTCAAGAGTAACAAAAAGATAAAGGCTTTCCCTTGAAAGATGAACATCATGTTTTGCGATTATATTTCAAGATGTATTCACTAACCTTCAGAGTAAAGGTATAATTATTCACGCCATCTTATAAGTCAAAGCTTCAATTATTTGGCCCTTTTCTTTTTTCTTTCTGCTAATTTTGTCTTTCTTCTTTCATCCTTCCTCATCTTCTGAAATGAAATTTTCTCACTTTCATCTTGCTCTTTGGCTGAACAAAAACAAAAATGAAACCAAAACAAAAGAAGCCAAAATTTAAATCAAATTGACTAACCTATGACCATCATCATCAGTAAAAGTCAAAAGGAAAAGATGCTCAAAATTTTCTTCTTTTTTTCCATCTTCATCTTTTTCTTTCCTTTTCCCACTTTCATCTTTTCAGTTTGTACATGAAAGAAGAGTTGTGATAATGCTTTATATCCGGTGAAGCTTATATCCTGCCAGTCCCAATAGACTTGAAACACGCAAATTATCATTTCCAAGAGGCTATTCATTTAATGTTGAGCTATTTAATGTGAATTAAGGTGCACCTTTGCCACGGCCTTCAAGTGTCTTTTCACGATAATCATGAGCCTATCTTGTTTCATGTGATATTTGATGACTGAAAGTGAAACCTACAATTATGCCAATTACCAATTTAACAATCAAAACTTTTCGCACTTGTGTAAATTCATTTTGAGAGATTTTGAAGAAAAAAAAGTTTTTTCTCTTTGCTGTTGTTTCATTTGTTTTTTTCCTTATTATTCAATCGAGTGATTTGCAAACATTTAATGGGTCAAATGATATTCCTTCAACCTTTCATTTCAAGTGTAATATTAATGGCGACTCTTTTCTTGTGTCTAGGCGAATGTTTCCCACAGTTCGAGTCTCGTTTACTGGAATTGATGTTAATACTAAATATCTAGTTCTTTTGGACATTGTACCAGTCGATAATAAACGATATCGTTATGCATATCATCGGTCATCATGGTTAGTCGCCGGTAAAGCAGATCCACCTTCACCAGCTCGTCTCTATCTTCATCCTGATGCACCCTTTTCAGCCGATCAACTGAGGAAACAAGTTATTACCTTTGAAAAGGTCAAGTTGACCAACAATGAAATGGACAGATCAGGCCATGTAAGTAATTCATTTTCACCTTTTATCCTGAATTGATTATCGAAATCGAAATGTCATTGTGCTCTTGGAATGCTGTTGACTTGAAGTTGATTTGCATTTTCTGTTCGTGATTGAAACGTAAAGAGTTAAACTAGCTTTTATGATTACCTTGTAATTGAGTCTTTTCAGGCTAATTATGCATCATAAAGAAAAGGTGAAACCAGATATTAACACTTTTTTCCGTTTTAATTAGTTTCTTTGTCCAATTAATAATGTGTGGTTAAACAGCTTTCTTTTAAACCTGAGAGTCAATGAATGGTCGTAAAGTTGAATCGTTTTTTTTGCATAAACTTGAATTCATTAGCACATTATCAACTAACCGTAAGCAAAGGGAAAGAAGAAGAAGAAAGTTGAACAAAAAAAGATTTCCTTTTCTCTGTGTTTTGCTTATCATTAACTTATAATGAATTGTAAAATAATAACAATGATAATGGCAATGAGAATGATATTAATATTAATTAGAAATTTAAATTTCGAATCACGTCCAGTTGCGCTTTTCTTGTGAACATATTGAACACGCCTAACCTTTTAAAAGTAAAATAATTATCCAATTTCAAACTGTGATTAGTTAATCAAAGTTGAAGGGAAAAGGTAAAAGCATCCAAAGAAATGGTTTAAAAGTTGAATCGCAATGAGAATCGAATAGTAAAACGACAAAAGTCTTCAGATGAAAAGAATTTTTTAGATGATTGAAATGTTCGTCGGTCAAAGTTGAAGGCTCGAAGTCACTTGGAAGTCGCTTTTGACGAGTTCGTTGGTTTTGTTTTTTGATGATTTTCTTTAGTCGTTGGATAAGATGATGAAGGAAAAAGAGGAAAATAGTGAGATTTTGTTGATTATTAAGAGGATGATAATGATGACAAAAGTAGACAATTGATAAATAGTCGGAAGAAAGGAAGTCAACTTTTCATCTTTTTTCTTCTCTTTTTTTGGTGTTTACTTGAGATATTTTTGTTCAGATTTTTTTCTTGCTTTTCTCTCCGTTTTGTTTCACCTTGCATCTTCAGTTGTGCACGGATGAACGAGATGAAATATTAGCTTCAATCACGCCATCTAAATTAAACAAGCTAACATGAAAACAATGAGTGCCTTGAGTCAACCAATGGTCATTCAGATTCATGGGAATTTTATTTAAATTTCAACATTTTATTGCATTAAGAACAAAAAGGTGAGATTTTCGTCTGTTTTCCGATTCTTTTTTTTAAAACTCAGTGGAAAGGGAAAGGTAGCCAAGGTAAAGTTAATGAAACAACATAAAAATTAACGTTCCTTTTGATTCATAGGATTGAAGGGTCAAGGTTAATTTGTTACCAAGTCTTTGATCAGTAAAATAGCCTTTGATATCAAAGATTAGTTTCAATTAATTGTGTTTACAAAAATGTTGTCTGATGCTTGCAATGAAAATTAATGACTTTAATTAGCAAGGTGGGCTTGATGAAGAATGGGAAAAATGTCTGATTCTCATCTAAAGTAGTCATTTTACATGAATGAAATTTGATTGCAGAAAAGTTGAATCAACAGTTGCAACTGGAATTTGGAGAAAATCTTTTCATTAAATCTTGTAAAGAGTCTTGAAAAGCTTTGATCAGACTGAGATCGACTTGAATCATGAAGAAATGCATCGTTTCTAGGTAAACTCCAATGATCATGAAAAGCAAATCAATCGAGATGAACAGCTGCAGATGCTTGAAAGAATTGAAATCTTTTGAGAAAAAAAGTTTTCGACTGAAAAACGAAAAGAAAAATTTCTAATTTTAATCGTGTTTCTTTTCTCCTTTTACAGATAGTATTAAATTCAATGCACAAATATCAACCTCGAATACATCTAATCATACGACGTGATGGAAGCACTTTTGATTCACCTTTAATCGACATGGAATCTGAACGATTTCGAACCTTTGTCTTTCCAGAAACTGTTTTCACCGCTGTAACTGCCTATCAAAATCAACTTGTAAGTTTCACTCTTTATTCAAATTAACACAACACTCTAATGTAAACCACACAAACATGAACAAAAACACGCAATTGACCAACAAACCATTTTACAACTTGCAAGGCACATAACAAAAGCAGATTATCACATTGGCAAATGGTTTTCCTCGAAACACGTTTTACATTGTAAACTTGAATTGAAATGGATTAACCATGAATTTAAATTTTGTGCCTTTTTAGTTGTTGCTTAAAACTCAAAATCGTAATCAGATTAAATTTCAATTTTGCTGATTATAACTGTAAACTGTAAACACTCCAAGCCTGCCATCAACTGCAACACACTCAGACCAACACTTGGAGCACTTAGTTTTGATAAATTATCAAGTTGAAATTTGCTCAGAGAAACCAGAATAGAAGTGGCAAAGAGAGAGAGAGAAATGAAAAAAGTGACTTTACTCGAGTTTAATTCAATTTAAATAAAGAAAAATTACTTTTACTTTTGAATTTCGAGGGTCCTTTGTGGTTTTAAAGTTTCATTTTTCCAAATTACAATTCTAATAATGTAATAACAGGCGCTCGTTTTGCTTTACATGCGATAATTTTGGGCAACCATTAATTTTATTGATATTGTTACACGATTATGTTTGTCTCTTATTTTATCACACAAGTGAGGTTTACCTGTTAAATGAGCTTGAAATAAATCATTACCATTATCATGGTTGTTGTTCATGGAGGTTGAAGTTTTGACAGAATTTTTGATATTTTTTGCTCTTCTTTTTGAGAAAACTTTTTCGCTTTCAAATGTAACAATTTTTATCATCATCTTGATTAAACTTTTTATGTAGGCTTTAATGAGCATCATTTAATTGCAATCAATTTTCACACAAAATTATCTTTAGTTTTGTTTCATCGAAAAGAGACTCAACTTTACAAGCTTGCACTTTGCTATCATTTGTATCAAATGTGCAACTCTTTAAATGTTTATCGCGAGTTGAACAATTATGGGAATCACGCAAGTGAATAACATTTTAACAACACTTTAGATATGTTTAATGTTAATCCTTTCACTGGAAATGTTTATTTCACTACTTGTTTTTATATCCATTTCAATTTCATTACCTTTTACTTTGATTGATATTGATTGATTGGTCAATGAGAAAATGTTTTTTTTTCGCAAAAAAGAGACGAAATGAAGGAGAGAGAAATGTTCACATTTACATGATGAAATGATAAGATTATTGATGGATTGTTTCCTTTTGTTTCTTGTTTAATGAAGAGAAAACAAGTTTTCATGATGAGGTTGAATACGTTTTCATTGAGAAGGTGAAAAAGTTTTCAGTCTCTCTGGGCAGTCTAGCAATGTGAAATTCATCTGCCGATTCAAATTTGTTATAATCGATTTGAAATTTTTTTGAAAAAAAATCTTTATTAGTAAGATCGATCTATAAAAAGCGATTTCAAAATTAAATTTGATTGAAAATTCGTAATCTCAACCAGTAGATATAATTATGACAAAATTTTCACTAGATTATAAATTAGGTTGAAAAAATTCCGATATAGTCTAATGGTTAAGATATCTTTTCTAATTTGCTCATCCTTACAAAGATAACAATACTTTTTTCAAACAAATCGTAACAACATTCGATAAGATTGTGTAGTTGAGGATTAAGATGTTAATGATTACTCAAAAGTCGAGTCAGAGCAGGCACATCTATTGATTTACCAACATCTCGATTCAACTAGTTTATTTACTGCTGAATCTTGAAGTCGATTTCAATGTTTTTGCACAATTTAATCTTTGATCTAATAACTCTTTAAACACTCAACTCAGGATCGATTTGTAGATCGATTGTATTTTTCAACTCAAGATGAAAAATCGATTTTTAATCAAATTCTCAAGTGATTTCTAACTCAATCATTTTTCAATGTCAATGAAAGTAATAGTTTCACGATTAAATAAAACTAACAAAAGTAGCATTTTGATGACTTAATGAAGACCATGATGTAATCAGTGTGAAAAGACGGGGCAAAACATCATTTGTATATTTAAAAGAAGGTTGGCAATGAAAAAAATGGGCAGAAAACAAATTGTTGTCCCTATCAAAGTACTAATGGTTGTCAGCATTTTTTTCAATTCTCAGCGGAATCATCAAGGTGACCAATTATTTAATCGTGTGAGTGAGCTGCGAGTCATTTAAATGAGATTTATAGTTAATGAGTCCCTTGAGTTGATCAAGTTTTTAACACAAAACAAAACTGGCGCAAACACAGCAACAGAAAGACAAAAACATAAAATGAAAAAAAGACGTTGAATAAAATGAGCAGTCAAGTTGATTTAAACATGGACTGGAAAAGCGTAAAGAAAAAAAGTTATGCAAAAACCCAAAGAGCAACACTAAGGGTACATTAAAGCATTACTCTGAGGATAATTCAATGACAGCCTCCAGGGCATTTCTGTAGTCATTTTTAAAGCAATAATAATCATTGAAGTTTTACTAACTTACTCACTCCAAGTTGTCACTTTCCACTCTCTCTCTCTCTCCCACGCTCGGTTGGCGTGTTGATTATGCTGATTGCAAGGGTGTTACTTTTGGCAGATTGGTTACTCTGCAAGTGAAAAGGAAAGACGGACACAAAATATGATAATGATAATATATTCGTATAATGATAAGTGAAAGTGTACACATCTTGGTCGCTTTGTGCCCCTTTTTACGTAACCATTATCATCATCATTATCATCAAGCATACATTTTATTACCTCTTATTAATTGTGATAGCAGCTTGGCTGAGCTTTCAGTTTTTGTTCATTCACTCTCTTCTTACGTTGCTGACCCTTGGTAAGTGTAACGTTAACTGATGGTGTTTCTGTGTAACTTGTGTGTGTATGTAAGTATGAAGGAGTGGTTACGCTAAATATCTTATTCCGACGTTTTTCGCATTCATCAACATCTTAAAATGTTGTTTCATGTCAACTCAAGTGTACAAACTTAACGTCTCTCTGTATATATTTTATAGTGTGTTGTATGATGAGTGTATTAATATCTTGCAACTTGTTTGAGTTGCAATTTTTTCTCTTCTTCTTTGCTCTTCTTTTTGTGTCGACAGTTTTTGGTCTTATTTTGCCCTTACCTTTCAGTTAATCAACTCGATAAGGATGATTGAAGATGACAATCGACATTGTTTAACGTTCATTATTCAACTTGCTCATTTTCAAACACCTTTCATCGAGAATTTTTTCTTTTATTTTCTCTTCTCTCTGTCAACACAATTATTGTTGATTGACAATTAAACTGATTAAACTGATTGATTCGATTGCAAATCCAATCAATGCTGAATGAGTCTTGAGTGGGCAATCGATTAAGGCGTGACGAAAAGGAAAATTTAAAGCGAACAGAAAGTTTCAATTTTTCGTCAATTTTATTCTCGTTTTTATTAACTTTACATTTGAATAAAAAATGAAATAAAACAAGGTGAAAATTGAAGGTTTCGTTGGGAAATGTTTCAATTTTTTTGGGCTTGAGTTTTGAGAAATGTTGAGTTAAATCTTTTTCAAGATTAACATTTTCTTTTATTGCCAATTATTGTTATTTTTATTGCAATAACAATCAACATTCCAAGTGTGATTATGATTTAGTTGTTGTTTTAGCTTCAGGTAACAATCAGGTATTGAACGAGCAAAAACAGAGAAACACGTTAATCTGATTAACATTCTTGGAAAATTTAAACTTTTCATTTTCTCCCCTCAATTGTAATTGTACAACAACAATTTAAAGTAAACGTATCAAATCAAAGTGTCTGGGAGGTCTGCAGAATAATAAAATGCAAAAAAATTTGTGCTCAACTTTTGTTTCTCATTTTGATACATTTTCGCCTCTTTACTCAGCTTGTTTCGTTGGAAATCGTTTAATAGCGTTCAACTTGTCAGACGTATTAGCGTTTATGAAAACTATTTGTTTACCAAATGAAATCTTGTTGCCCATTTTATTTGCACAATTAGCATAACAATGGCACACAAAAGGTAACTAATTTGTTTGAAATTGTGTTTCAACTTTTGCTACGTGTTTATTGAAACAAAATTGATTCGTTGGTTTCTTGTTTTGTTGTAACATTTTTTGCCAATTTCCGGCTCAAATTGATTAACATTTACATTGAACCGATTTATTTGAAATTATACTGATTAGATATCAATTTGAGCCAAATAATTGCCAATTAATATCAATAAGCACACTTCCTATCTCATCTAATAAAGCTATTAAATTTGATAGTCAATAAAATTATAATGCAATTGATTTTTTTATTGAAACTATTATTGCCTTTTTTTACTGCTGCTATTGTATACAAAAAGTTAACCTACTTTGACCTTTTTCATTTGATTTGCTGGTTTTTGCTTTTACTGATTATCAATTGAATAATTTGTTTATCAAAGACAAGAGTCGATAAAGTGACTAACTGGTTACTTGCAAGTTGAGCTTTACAAGGCCAAGAAGGATTGGATTGTATAAACAAGAAAATGGTTAACATTTGTGATTGCAAGGTTCAACTTGTTATCCTAACCATTAAACTCCGCCGGAATCGTTTGTGTGTTAACAAAGAGTTGAAAATGTTAATAAATGATCTGTTAATTTCACGGGTTCATCTAACCTTTTTTGTTTCCATTTTTCAACAGATAACTAAATTAAAAATTGACAGTAATCCATTTGCAAAAGGATTCCGCGACTCATCAAGATTAAGTGACATTGAAAGGTAAGAAATGATTTAAATAGCAAGTCAATCAAATCGACACAACAAGGTTCACTTTTCCACCAAATTTCACCATTTCCATTTACTATCTATAGAATCATGTTCAACTTGATCATTATTATCATCATCATAATGATAGTATATTTTTTTCTCATGGTTTCTTCATCTTTAAAGTTCATCTCAACTTTTTGGTTGATGTTTATTTTTACCTCAAAACAAACATATTAAAATAGACTGTACAAGTAAACGTAAAAACTACAACTATTTTTGAATAATGATGATAACTGTAAAGTGGAAGAAGAAAAAGTTCATCATTCATTTTCATCTTCATTCCTCATCATGACCTCAACATTGTTGACCTCATCCAAGTAGCAAATTTACAGTTATCATTGAAAGTTGAAGCAAAAAGTAGGCAGCAAAAATGTATGAATGAGCTAATAAGAGGCAACAATCAAAAGGTTGAAAAGTGGATAACATTTGTACAATAACATCTCTCTGTGAGAGAAGAGGTTTTTACTTGAACAACAAAATAGATTCATTTTGTAGCCAATATTGAGTTTCAATTGAGCACTTTACCACCCATTGTTGTTAGCCTTTCCATCATCACAATCATCATTTTACCGCAATTTTTTTCTTCTCATTTCATTTCTCGTCGTTGCTTCTTCATCCGTTTTCCCACCCACTTTTCTCCCTCTTTTTCTCAATGATCAACTGTCAAACAAGATCGTCAACTCTCAACCATTAAAGTCCGTTATTCAGTCGACTCTCTCCATCCTCATCCTCATCCTCATCTTTCAGTCACGTGACTGGCTTGTCATGTGATCTTGCCTTGTTTCCGTTTTCATCTTTTTGCCTGTCTAATGGTACTTTACTGTGTTAATTGAGAATCAAGACCTCACAGAGATTTGATTATAAACTGTATTAACTGATGGTTAAACAATTTATCACGCCTTGTGATGCATTGTTACGCTCATCATCATGTACTTTCCAGTGAATCAAGTGCACAATCAGTCAATTAACCAACACCAACTTTACCAAATCTGTTAATCCACTAATCCTTGGATCCTGCAAATCACTTTGCATAATCTTGTTTTGACTCATTCATCATTTTTTCCCATTTTTTCTATTCTTTCTCATTCTTGATACAAAATTGAACAATTGGTGAAATTGGCGATTCCTTTAGCTTCTTTTCACTCACCTTTTCATACCTTCTAGCCAATCCATGTTATTAATGCATGAAAAGCAATTTAATGGCTTCTTTTGTGGTAAAGGTAAATATTTGTATGTGAATGAATTGAAACTTGTTAAATATTATTTTCATCTTTTCTCTCATCTTGTTATTATTGTGATTGGTAATAGGCAACTGAAAATGTTCAATGTTTGGTGTAAAAAATGAAGAAAAAAGTAAAAGAGGAAATGAGTTTTGAGTTTTTATTTCTTCTTTTCTTCTTCTTCTTTTGCTACTTTCTGTTGACTTTTCATTTGTTGCTATTATTGAATTGAAATGGTTCATTTGATTGATTTGATAATGTTATTTGTGTGAAAACATTAGTACAAGGAAACGACAAGGAAGAGGCAAAAGGTTCAAGGATAATTTGTTGCAATTACAGGTAAAACCTTTAGGCAAAGAAGTAGGAGAAAAGTACGAAAAGAGAAGAAGAAAAAAAATGATGAGGATGATGATGATGGTGATGAAGATTAGACAAAAAGAATGAGAATCTTAATGATGAGAAGAATGACAAAGTGACAGATGGAAAAATTGACTTTGAAAAGATGGAATAATTATGATAGCAAATTGACAAGAAAAGGCAAACAGTATAATTATATAATAATGCGTCTTTTTTAGCTTTTTTATCCTCTTTATCCTCATGCAAGTTTGTTAAAAATAACACAATTAATATAGCAAATTGTGAGACGAGTCAACATGATCGGTTGAATATAAATCAACCAAAATCAACCAAACTATCAAACCAATCGTTGCTTGAGTCTTATCAACTCATGATGAAACATCTGTTCGATGAAGTTCATCAAACATTTTTATCGATGAATAAGTTTCAGCTCTCTAACTCTTACAGTCACAGAAAGCGATCGGTTTAACTGAAAATCGAACTGATCTGTTGTACAGAAACAGAAAATTTTATTTCTCAAAATAAGACAATTTTCTGGTTGATCATCAAAAGTTACATCAGTAAAATGAGTTTCATGAAAAAATCTGGTTCCATAATTGAACAAAAGGCAATCGAAGTTTCAACTTTGACTCAGTTTTGAAAACAAAGAGTAAGCTTTTTGTTTTACTTTATCCATCTCTTGTCTCGATGATTGTTTAATATCAAATGATTACTAAAAGTTGAAGATTCAAACAACTTTAGCAATCATAAAATCAACTTTAGTCATCAAGAATACCTTTAATTGTTAGCAAAGTTGTTTGAGGTTTCATCACTTTCTTGTTACAATAATAATGCAAAATGAAGCGATAATGAACATTAAACTTTCTGTCAGCCAATTTGGTTGACTTTGGTTTGACGAGTCTTCAAGTTTGGACAAGTTGAAGATTCCCTTTTTAAGCATAATAATTATAATTTCCTGAACAATTTAGTGGTTGGACAGATTTTCGCATTTGCATAAACGAAGCGAAAAACAACAAATGTGTCACACAGAGAAAGTCAGTGATGATGATGATGATGGCATTGGTGATGGCGATGATGAGGATGAGGATGAAAAATATGGCGAAGAAATGAAGTGAAATGCTTGAGGGTCAATGTTGATGCTTCTGTGTTTCCCTTGATTTGGCTTACCTCAGCTACATAATTAAGGCAACTGTAGACCACACATTGAGTGAGAGATCTTCATGCTTCTGTCTTCTCGTCTTCATCATCTCTTGGTTCCTTGTTGTTTCTCTGTAGCTTGCTCTTTCTTTCTTCCCTCTCTTTCCTGAAAAAAACGAAAAAACGAACGAAAAATTTTCCCTTCCTTAGTTTCACACTGATTTTCGCATTCTTCCTCCTCCTCTCTCTCTCTCTTTTTTCCCTCCTCATCATCATAATCATCATCACCCTCATCACCATCATCCACACCTTTAATCATACCCAATGGCTGATGATAAAAGATCTTCATCTTTTACTTTCTTTTTGAGCACAACTTTGTTGAACAAAAAACTTCTCAATGAACACAAATTTTTTCACTCCTTTTGTTTCGCCTTTTTTAATGGAATCCCTTTAATTTACAAATTTACCGCTTCAAAGCCATTTTAACCTTTCTCGTCCAGGTAACTTATACGATTAGTAGCATGATTATGTTGATCAACTGTAACTAAATCAGTTAAATTTATTTCAAGACAACTATCATTAGTTTAGTGTTTAGCATCCATTAGTGTTTCTCGCGCAAAATTCAACTTGAAATTCATTCAAATAGTAAATTGTTTTTTTTATAATTTCATGTTTATATTGAAAGATGGCAAAAATCATTTATTTTTCAATGTCATTTTCAACCTTTTTTATCTTCCCTTTCAATCATTTTACGAATCATTTTCACTTCAACCTTCAAGTGATTATATTGCTAGTAATTTACTCAACAATTAAATGAAAGGTTATTAACTAATTTAGCTAAATTAACGTCATCATTGGCTAATAGATTGCAAGATTCTTGGAAAAAGTGAAACTTGATTGATTCGATTTGTTTCAACTTTGATTAAACAACTTAATGAAATGATTTGATTGATTATTTGTTTTTTTTATAAAATTTTAGAGATGCAATGGAGTCAATGATTGACCCTTGTTATGGTCGAGGTCCAATAATATCGCCCTTCTTGTTGAACAATGAAGAAACGGCAAGCTTATTCTTAAGGGAAAGAGCCTTGCTCATGGGCCATCCCAACTCACCCAACTCGGGATCAGGCAACATGCCACCCGGCATAAGAGGACCCGTTATGTGGAGACCTCATCCCGGCTTCCCTACCATCAACCCAACCGACTTTTATAATCTATTAACAACTTGTCCTCCTTGGTACTCGGCTGCTATTGGAGCTCACTTAAGATCTCCTAATCCAACTTCAGGTAAATCTCGAAACTCTTTTCTTCTTCTTCTTCGTTTCTTTCATTCTTCATGTACTCACCTCTTCATCTTCATTACAGGTTCATCACCAACTTCAGCTGCTGCTGCCGCTGCATTTGCCTTCACCAGTCCACCTCACTTCTGGAACACAAACACAAATCAAATTCCAAGTGAACTCGCGAAACAATCTCTAATCAAGTAAGTTGATCATTCAGAGTTGACCATTAGAGTTGACCACTTGTTCAATATTTAATATCAACTTTCTTTTCACCTTTTCTCAGCAGCAATGGAAACATGATGAATGGCAACTCAAACAACAACAACAGTGGCGTTGGTCCAACTCGTCCAAGTCATCCTCATGATCCATCAATTCATCGATTCACTCCTTATCCATTATATTCACCTTCCAAGAAGGACTTGAATGGATGCAAAAGTTCATCAACTGGCCCATTGACTTCAGGACTTTTACCTTCTTTGGGTCACCATCCACACTTGCCCGGATCTTCACCTTCATCTTCACCCCTCTTGTCCTCCTCTTCTTCCTCATCCTCATCATCCAATCATCATCCACTGAATCTTCTTAATCCATCCAATGGAACTAACTTATCTTCTGATCTTCATTCTCATCATTCCCATCATTTACATAATTCACGTTCATCTTTCAACTCCGTCAACGGTGATAAACGATCTCCAATCAATGGAAGCAACAATTCAAAGCATAAAACCAAGAATCATCAAAATGGCAGCAATTCTGAGCGTAATAAGAATCAACTAAATTTAAGCAAAAGTGGCCATTTAAACAGCAATTTGGACAAAAGATCAATCGATTGTATAGTTAAGAATGAATTATCAGAACCAATTAGATAAGCCAATTGGAATCAATTTTTTAAGTTTATTTCAAATTCCTGTACAAATGAAAACAAAAGTAATTCATTGGCGTTCATCAAATCATTTTTTCTGTTTTTTATCCTTTATTAACTTTTATGTCAATCAATGGTATTATTGTAACAATGTCGCACAACAAAAACTTGTTAATGAACTTTCTCAATCAACTTCATCTTCATCATAAATAAGAAAATCCTAAAAAGTATAAAATTTAGTTTTCCAAATTCATTTCACTTTCAAATCAACAATCTTTTTTTAATCAAATCCAATATCAAACCATAAGCCAAAATATCGTTGAACAGTTTTAACATTCAATCGAGGGAAAAGTTGAGCGAAAAGAAATTAATGAAAATTCGAGGCAAAAACGCGAGTTGATCTTTTCGCAACGAATTAACATTGACTTTTGCAAAATTATTTGTCAACAGTTTTTTGTTTTTCAGTCAACATGCAACCTCATTGTAAGATGATTATGATGATCAACGCACACAGAGACACAATCATCATCATTATCATCACCATAATGATACGTTTGGTTACTTTACTGGTGAAACCCGGGATTGATCCATTTAAACTGCGGCCGCTCTTTACTTCATGCTGCATTTAGTCTAGTTGGACCTTGGAAACTGAGAACACACAGAGTCAGAAAACTGTTCATCTTTATCCTCATCCTTGACTTTACTCTTCAACCTTCCCTTCAACTGTAACCTTTCCTCTAATCCAGTCTTCAAGCTACTCTTTTCACCATTTAAACAACATTGTCTTTTCCATGCTCATCATTAACCTGAAAAGTGATCAAACCACTGTAACCCTTTACTTCATCTAAATGGTCAACTTTTCTTCTTTTTCTTCGTCTTTCTTTTCACGGCAAGTCCAATTATCTTGAATGAATAGAAAAGTTAAATTTCACTTTTTTTCACCACTTTTTTGTCTTTTGTTCCCAAAGGGTTGTTGCATCCATTGAAACTTTATTTTCATTGTTTTCCATTTTCTTTCAACTTTAAATATCAATTATTTTTCAACTTTTCAACCATTTTTTCACTTCTTTCCCTTCCCTTCACAGGCAACACAAAAGCGTAAAAGTTGGGCTCATGTTTGGTAGACTTTAATGGAATGGTAAAATGGCCATTATCACTTTGATTATATATTGCACCGGGCTTTACTGCCTCTTTTTTAGTTGCCATCATAATCTTTTAATCTTGTTCATGGAAAAGCGTAAGGTAAGCAAAAAGGTAAGCGAAAATGGAGAAACACAAAAAGGTGAAATAAAAATATTTTCAACTTTTTAACCTTTTTTTCTTTTTCTTTTTTCTCTCTTCTTCATCTTCACTTCATCATCTCTGCCCAAACTCAACCCAAATAGTTCAACCCTAAAGGTATTATTGCGCAGTGTAAAAAAACCTTCGTTCTCCTCCTTCATCATGATCATCAGTTAACCTGAACAGTTCATGGTTAACTTGGTAGGCAGGTTATTTTTCGGTTTTGTCTTCTCTTCTGGTTACCAACAAGTCGACGAAAACAAAAACCAGAAGCAGGAAGAAGAAAAGTGAAGAAAATTAGCTTTTCAGAAAAAACGAAACACTGTTTCGAACAAAAAGTTCCGAAAATTTCAAATTCGAAAAATGATAATCTTCCAGAAAAACAGTTTCACAAAATTGCAACAAAAAAAACAAAAAGAACCAAAATTTTTCATACTTTTTTCCTCATTCCTTAAACAGGGCCATTCAGAGTCAATAATCAGTTGAACAAAAACGATCGGAAAAAGAAGACAAAACAATAAGCTCATATTCATCATGAAAAAGAAAATTAAATTTCTATTTAAACTCATTTTCTTTATTTGATATTCATCACTCTCTACGTAAGTCTAGAGTCAAACATACGATTCCCTCAACCCAAGAGAGTAACTCTCACCCGTCCAAGATCAACATTGAAGTTGCCTTGATCGATGAAAATATTGTCTCTAACGGTTCTCTTCACCATCTTTACCAAACAAATCCCATAATCGCAACCCTTAATCGAATCAGGGGAACATTTTCATTTCCATTTTTACTCTTGAATTTCTTCTGTAAATGTCAACCAGAAATCTGTAGATAAACAGATTAGAGCAATAATTGTGGTCGAACTGTACCAATTAATCAAACTTAATGCAAAGTTAATCTATTTACAATGGATTAATACAAAATTTTAATAACCTTATTCATTGAATGCATTCATTTAACTTTGTTTTACACTTTAATGTTAAACTTTGCTTTTGCTTGTAAAACATTTTCCTCACTTTTTTATATCACATTTGCGCTACAAATCAAATGGCATTAACAAATTGTTCATTGCAAGTGCAAACCAACAACAGCTAGAAAATAAAAAAAACATACAAACCTGAAACTTTTATTTTGTCATTTACTTTAAATCATTTACCATCAATTCAATTGTACATTAAACAAAATTTATTATTCAACAAAAGACCAATTTGATGTTCATCTAAATCATATCATGCAATTGAATAAACTTGGCCGCAACAAGATGAAAAGAAGAAGAAGAAGAATCCATGAAGAAAATCCTTTCATCCTTATCATCATTATCATCGTTATTTAAACTTTATTATGATTATTATTATATCAGTAATGGTAGTAATTGTATTATTATTTCTTTGCGTGGGCTACAACAATTTAATTTATTGTTACCTTTAGTTTTATGCATTCAATTTAATTCTTAACTTGTTTTCACAATTATCCTGCAATTGAGATACTAATTTAGGTTAATTGGTTCTAATAATGATAATGATAACAAAAAAAAGCGAACAGTTTAAACGTAAAAATAAGCGATTCAATGAAATGACCAATTGGTATCATTACACTTGCAAGGTTAACATTTGGTCAACAATTGATTATCAAATGTACAAAACAAAAAGTCTTTTGAACAGTTTAATGGTGCGATTAGACGATAATGATAAATCTGAAGCTTCAATGGATGAAATATTGTCAATGTTGAGCAGCGAAAAGAGTTAAATGTTTTGGAAACTTTTTTTTTTCCATCTTAAAGTAAAAGCCAAAAATACTTTGTCGAAGTGCCAATCATTGATTCATTTGTGACTGGTAATAATGATTATTGACCACTTTTGGTCAATCATTTTGACCAACTTTGGCACGTGCTGAGGAAAATGTTGAAACATTTTTCTTTTCTCTTTTAGTTTTTTTTTCTAATAAATATTTATTTCTATTTATTAGCCTTTTGGTCAATTGGTTTGGTCATCTCGAGAGGTTCAACAATGCTTATTACGATTATTTATTCATGGTCACAAATTTACGAGCTGTTGTGCTTGTCTTTTGTTTTGGCCTTTTTGGTCTTCTCATTGTACTGGCCAATAACAATTTGTCAGCATTTTGAGCCTTCTCTTTGCTTTCTCTTTTCCCAACTCCCTGTGCTGTCCTAACTTGACGTTTTTGTTGCCAGTTTAACACAGAAAGGCTAACTTTGTTAATGACCTAAGAAGGTCTTTCTCTCTCTCTCTTTCCCTGTTGGCCTGAACAAAAACCAGATAACACATTGAAAAGCTTTTAATGGTTACATTGGGAGGTTAACTTGGTAAAAGTTAACCTAATCTAACCTGAACCTGCCTTTAACTCAACCTTAACTTTAGCATCAAAGTGTGAGGTTTCTTGAGTCAGGCCTTTTGCCTTTCACTATGTTACTGCTTGTACTACGCTTGTTATTAAACTAATAGCAAAGTCACTCTCACTTGAAATTATTATTATTATGGTTCACTGTTGATAATGTTATTACTATTGGCAAGATTATTATCATTATTATCATTATCATTATTACTGTTATCGTCTAATGTCTTCTTTATCATTATTATTTAATTTACTATTACATTTGTAGTTTGTGGTTAAATTAGGTTAAAGGTTAGAGGTTACTTGACCTGTAAAAACTATTTACGATTGCATGTTACTGTTTTAGGTTGAACCATGTTCACTTTAAATGTTTTCATTTCAAAATTAAATCTTTATTAGCATCAAATCAATTCGTACGCAATATTATAGTGCACATTTTTACACCAAACAGACCAATCATTTTGAACCAACTGCCCGATACTGTACAGGGTCAAGTAAGATGTTTCAAGTGTTGTTCAAAATTCGTTTTATATTTTAAGAAAAGCAAATTCCGCTAAATTTTATCAAGATCTAGGTTTTTATGTCTTTTTTGTGGTTTAATTGACTCGAGTTGAGAGATGACAAGATCAGTTGAAAAGTTGATGAGTTGATAGGAAATCTAAATCTTGAATCGACTCTAAACTTTCCTAAAAAACAATCGCAACTACAAAATTCACTGCCAATGGTAACCAAAACTTTATTATCGCCATAAATTATCGCTATACTTTTCAAACTCTTTATGATGAGCAAATGAAATTTCCGATAAAATCGAGAAGGAAGCTGAAACTAAATCAAATTTCATGACTATCTTAACAAGAAAGCTCAACTTTCAGATTTTTGTTGAGAATATCTGTTTTGGCTCGAAATTTCAGTATTAAAGTTTTTCCATCATATGACCGAATGGTGAAAAACCGACGTATTCTTGAATTTGCAAGTCTTCAGTTTCTTGATCAAAATAACGATGAGAAATAATCAAATGAATAATCAATTTCGCGTAAAAGCTGAGCTTGGATTTTTCCGTTTAATTGAACATTTCCATTACAATTCTCAGCTTTGACATTTTAATCGCTGTTATAACGCCTTTTACTATTGTCAATATTTAACAAATTATTGGCAGTTTAACAGCATTGGAAGGCATCAAGCATTTGAGGCAAATAAAGGTAAAGCAAACTCAACATCATCACAAGTCAATTAACTGAACGATGTTGTGTTCATTTCAATAGATAATCTAATTATTTGTTTAGTCTGCCCTTACTTTACCATTAAATCAATGATCTTGCTTTTATATCACTTTGATTGGTCAGACAATTTCCAATTCTAATTGAATCAACATTACACAAACATCCAATTAGCCTTTCAAGTATAAATTATATAAATAGTTATTCCAATTTTGACCTTAATCTCGTTAACAAGAAAAAAACATCGTCATCACAGCTACAAGATATTGGGTCAATGTAATTGTTTTCAAGCCAATTAAGACACCTTCAAGTAATGATAATACGTTTTGATTACATTTAGACTCAAATTAGAGGCAAAATTTACCAAAGAAACATGTTT